CGGCAAGTGGACACACTGGGGCTATCCGACCTAGAGGAATGTTTTGAACAAAAACAAACACAGGCCCGAGGGCCACGCATTATTCCTTAGTGCTGCATAATACTCCATTGTGTGAATGTACCACAATTTCTTGACAGTTATTTCATTATTTCTGCTATATTATTTTCTGCTTTCTGTAATCTCACATTTTCTTTTCTCTCTCTCTTCCTCTTGTCTTAACTTCTTTTAGATTGAGCTGCTTCAATCTCCCCTTCTGTTTAAAAGTATAGCTTTTATGATCCATTTTTATTCTTTAGAAGTAGCTTCAACATTCATATAATATATATTATATTTAATTTCTAGTATTTTTATTTTTCAAGACAATAGAAGAATCTTTTTCTTTTTACAAGAAGCTTGATTCACACTTACCCTATACTGTTTTAATGCTATCTTGTTTTTTAACTTTATGAGACACTATTGTTGTGTTCTATGTAGTCAAAGCGTATTTGCACTTGCTGTTTGTTTTTTTTCTCTTGCATTACAGATCTTCCTTCTGAAATAATTTTCCTTCAGCCTGATTTATGTCCTTTAGAATCTACTTTGTTGTTGTTAGATGCCCTCAAGTCAACTATCACTCATAAGAATTCTGTAAACAACAGATCTGAACCCTGTCCTATCCTAGGCCATCCTTACCATCTCTAACACACTTAAGCCCATTGCTTCAGTCACTGTGTCAATCCATCCTGTGAAAGGTCTTTCTTTCTTTTACTGACCCTCCACCCTTCCAAGTATTATGTCCCTCTCCAAAGAATAGTCTTTCTTAACAATTTGCCCAAAGAAACTTTGTCAGCTTTCCCTCCAAGGAGCATTCTTATTGCACTTTCTCCAAGACATATCTGTTTAGTACTTTTCTTCATCATCACAGTTCAAAGGCATTAATTCTTCTTTCACCTTTATTAATTGCCCAACTTTTAAATTGTGGTGTTCACTCAAAAGTTGGCTTTTCTAGCCATTATGTTAGCCCCCTCTTGTTTCCAGCTGCCTTCACTGCAGCCACATGGTCTTGCAAATCATCAAAAGCTGTGGAACTAAGGGGGGGGGCGGGGAGAGAGAGAGAGAAAG